ATTTTGACCAACCCAGATTAGTAGGTGGGCTAAGGGGGCCTTTCCTTTGCTCGCGGACGTACAGAACCTTTGTGGCATCATTAATGGTCGGAATTAATGCACTTAATACTTTAATATAAAATTGTATAAGTTGTATGTCTGTAAAATGTTAAAATGTGCTCAATAAAATGCCTTATAAAAAGACATTTTTTAGGCATATGCCTAGAAAATAATTAAATATGCGCTTAAATGTCAAAAATATGCACTAAGTACCAACAAGGTAGTTATATATTATAAATGATTTGAATAGATACTTGTAGCCGGTAGACGTGTGTGTTAAAAATTAGATAATTACGCACAATAATAATTAAATGTGCTCTTCTTCTAACTTATTTTACTGTCAATTAAACTGAAAAAAAAATTGTATAATAAAATAGCCATTGTAATAGTTATATTTTTAAAGGATGTGGGAATCATATGTTAAAAAATCATGTGGTCAACGGTTTAGTGACGAAAAAGTGAACAAAATATCATGTTATCTAATTTTTTTTTTTTTTTTATCGAAAAACAAATGGTCAAATATTTTATTAATAAGTTCGAAATATTCAGGGGTCGAAAACTCAAATACAATCCCACAATATACGCTTAAAAGAATGACAAAAAATGCTCTTAAAAGCTGATTCAGGTTATGATTAATAATTATTATCATACATTAGAGGAACAGCTCAAAATTAAAAATGTTAATATTAAAATATTAAAAATAATAATTAAATAATACAATTTTTATTTTTATTTTTTTATTTACTATAATTGTTAAAAATATATTTTTTCTTTTTCTTGAAAATACCTCAACTAATTTATTTTTATACATTAAACTTAAGCATTTTTTGTTGTATTTTAAATGAAATATATAATTTTCGATCATAATTTATTTCTATTTCATAACATTTCGATCTTTTGAATTTTGGATATTATATTTTTTGATCAATAATATATTCGATAATATGGTATTTCAACCACTTTTTTCGATCAAATGATACCCGCCCGTTTTTAAACACTTGTCTAACTTTCATAGTTACATGGCAATTCTAGCTGTTATTCTTTCTTATTCGAATAGCTGTGATGTGGATCTCGGACTATTATTCTTATGGGTAATCTTAATCCGGGTCCCCATATCGAAAATCATTGTTGTTGTAAGACTTTTAAAACCCTTGATATTGTCTTGAGATTATGTAGAGATTTCCAGTTAGATTTATCCTTTAAGGTAGTTTATCATGTTTTTTTATGCCACATTGTGGCGTATGGTAGGCCGTTATTTAGATCCTCGTACTATCAGTGACTCCTTGAAGTTAGAAAGGGTTCGGCAAAAATTCTTGAGATTTTCTAGCTTTAAATTGAATATCCCTTGTAAATCCCATAACAATAAACCTGTTGAATCACAACTTTGTTTGATTTCCTTGGTAAAGAGAAGACAAGACGTGTTTCGAACATTAAGCTATTGGATGGATTATTACGAGGTAATATTGACTCACCGGATTTACTTTTCTTAATGCGTTTTCAAGTACCTCAACGTTCTCGAATCGCGACTTATTTTTATGTTTCCCTTTCTACTGTCAAATTCCTTAAAAATGACGACCAATGCCAATACGGGCCCTGCATTCTCTCTGAATATTTTTTATAATAACTGTGTAGCTATCGATGCATCATTATTTACATAATTCATGTAAATATCCGTATATGTGCAACACAGATACATATCATGTATATATTTATATAAGATATATTCTAAATAGTGTATCCTGTACGCTTTAAATAAATAAATAAAATAAAAAGTCTGTTAAAAATATTGTTCATAGTAGTAACAAAATTGTACATGAAATGTTCATGAAGATGATTTTCAAGTCTGGAATCCGCCGGACCCTCAATGCGGCCTTGCATAACAAATGTATGTAATATTATCCGGCATAATGTACAATTAATGTAATGAAATGTATTTCTGGAATATTCCCAAACAATTCGGATATTGCCGACTACACCTGTATATTAAACTATTTCCACCTTAACCGCAGAATGTTTAGATTTAATATCAAAATTTATCTATACCGATTCTTTTATAAGGTTATCAAAGTGCGTCTAAGTTATGACTCCGAGGTGTGAACTTGTGATATTGTAGGATTTGTTCATGTATCGACGTTACAATGTGTAGTATACAATACGCTTGGTTATATAAATATTGCAGGTTAGATAAGAGGTAAAAAAAACCTCTAATTATGTTTTTTAATGCTCTTATTCTTGTCGAATTTTAAGAACGTTTACTTGTTTTTATAATTTAATTTTTTTACGGATTTAAATTTACAAAACTAAATTACTACAGATTTTCGATTAAACTTTTCTTTTTAAATATCCTATAAAAACAAAAAAAAAAAAAAAACAAAAAAATGATAACTTATTATCTTTACCCACCTTATTATCTTTTGAAAATTTTAATTTTTTTATGTATACATTTCTGTAAATGTTTCGTCATCGTTAAATGAGATTTTAACGTGTTATTTCATTACTGTAATAATAGTGAAATTGCATTAGACGACATAAAGATGATAGCATTATAATTTAATATTCACAGCGGCCTAAGGGTAACTAAAGGTAATAATAATATAGGTAATTATAATAATGAAAAGGCTCTCAAGAATTATAATATGACCGCCATATGCCAATAAGCAACTCGATGGAATGATATTGATTCAAATGGGTTCGTATTTTACATTAATGAAATTGAATACGTTTTGTCAAAATATTACATTACAGTTATAGGTGCGTGGGCTTTTGTATGATTTGCTGGGCGTCGACGATAACGATATGAAATGTGTTAACGAAAATCGTACATACTGGGTATGTATAAAATATTCTGAGCTTAAGTGATTCGTTATAGGATTAAATTTTAATTGAATTCGATCGTATTATATTATATTAACTTATCGAATTCAATATAGAATTGATAATGAAATTCCGTATTCGGGTCGGTTTTTCTAGAAATTATAACCAATTTGTCTAAATTCAAAAGTATATAGATTTATATAAAAAAAAAAAAAAATGTTTAAAAAGATAACTTTCTAGATTTCTGTTATTTATTTTTACCAATATATAGTATTTTTTCTTTTTTTTAGATTCAAAGTGTAGATTTTGTAAATTCGAAATATTTATTGGTTTTACAATGGTGTTTTTTTATTTTTTTTTTTTACTGTGACATAAATTTTTACCAGAAATCTTGATCCGATATGTAGGTGTGGCACCATTTATAAAAGGAAAAAATGTCTAGATGGTATTTTAAGAGGTTATTTTTTAATTTCCACCCAGTTTTCATAATATCTGGAAAACATTAGAAAATCGGAAATTTACGAAAATAATACTTTTTATTGTTTTTAATATTGTTATTTGTTGTAATTCAATTAAATTATTTTCAGAAAATTGTAATTTGGATAGGGAACTTATATTTACCTTTTCCAGACATAGTAATATTTTCAAAAACTGTTAGCCATTGTTAGGCAATTTTTGGACATTTTAATTTTGAGAATCTTGTACATAATTTTCATTCGGTAGGAATTTTGTAGGAAAATTCTTAGACTAAAATGCAATGATCGAAAATTTACCTGATAGTTCAGTAAAAGTCGTACTTTGTGGTAACAAAAAATAAATATTGAACTTAATGTAACATTTTTTTTTAGGATGGAATTTTAATATCAAATGTTGCCAAAAAAATTATGAGAAACAAATCCAACTTTTCAATTTTTTTTTGTTTTTTGTTTTGAACATATTATCTATATTGCCGATTTAAGAACGATGGTGACGTCAGAATTAAGCGGAATAACTTAGTTTTGAAATTATAGCGTTCTAAATTTCTGATATTGTGTGGTTATTACATATACGTGTTATATAAATAACTAAATAATGACAATTGTGAAGTATGTCTGTCATAGTCTAGTGGTGGTATTTACCAGTTATCGTTCTAGAGATCGCAAGTTCAAACCCGAATTCCGAAATGGTTTTTTTTTGCATTTTGGGTACACCCAGAGAGACTCTAGCCATGTTGCTCGCAGGGTCTATTTATTTGATTTATTATGCACACTTTTGTATCAGAAATCGTGCTTTGATATATCAAGTGTAGCAGCTTTTCTGAAAGAAAAATTTTATCTACGTGATACTTTAAGGAAGTCATTTTTTGATTTTCCAAGTGGTTTTCATAATAATTGGGAAAATCGTGATAAAATGTCGGTGAAACGGAAAATTTTACGAAAATAATGTTTTTATAATTCGGTTAAAAATATTCGTAGTAACGTAAAATTTAAACAAAAAAATTTATATTTGCCTTTTCTAGACGTGATAAAAATGTAAAATTATTTAAGCCGTTTTTGAGCTATTTTAATTCTGTGAATGATTTTTGTGTGCTCAGAACAAAATAGTTTTTTTTTTTTTTTTTTAACCGCTATAATTCATCATTATCTTCAGTTTATTATAATATTATTGTTTGCACCGTTAATTATAATTGAAATTAAAACGAAATTTACGATATAAGTAATAATTATGGTCAAATATAGTAAATCAGTTTTTCGACGATTTTTGATGTCATCAAAGCGATTCATAATTCAACGATGTAATATGACCCATCTGTGTAATCAACGCCGCAGAGGCAATCACATTTCAATTGTGTGTATTTTTATACAATTGTTTGCGCAGCGCATTTAATTTAAAATGTCATCGAATTCGACATAGTTATAGCCCAGTATAATACCAGGTGATTCATTTTAGTGGATACATTCATTATCTCGAAAAGTATTAGAGCTAGTATTAGTGGAGCAGCTTATTTCTTAAATGTTCTAGAAAACAAATTCCGAAAAAAGCTGCTCCACGGTTTTATATTTGTGTTATTTTCTGTCACCCTTAATTTTAGGAGTAAAACAACTACCTTTTTTTTGATTTTCAAATGGCAATCTATATTAAAGAGTCCACAATTAAATTGAGTATTAGTTAAAATAAATTTCGGCGTTGAAATTTTTGATTTCTGTCAAGCCGTTGACGAGATATACCACTTTTAATTTTAGGTTTGAGGAGAATAGTGGAGTATCGTTAGAATGGCGGTACGACGCGCAGCGTATTAATATAGCACCACTACTCTCCTCCGACCCAAAATTAAATGGCAAAAATAGGCAGTTGTTTTACCCCCGAAAATTAGGTTGACGGAAAATAACGCAGATATAAAATTGTGGAGCAGCTTGTTTTTTTAAATGTCCTAGCAAACAAGTTCCGAGAAAAATTAATACTTTCCGAGATACGAGTGTACCCACCTAAATGAATCACCTGGTATATACGTGTCGTTGTCTCCGTCGATTTATTATAGGTACGGACAGTATAGCGGCGATAACGAACGATTTGGCGACTCATAATACTGCAGCTGTTCGTCCGACAGTTATTAATCGTTACCGATTTCTACAACGGCTCGTTAAAGTGAATATTTTACAACACGATATCAGATTCTGTTCGATTTTCCAACCGGCTGCGCAGCAAGTAGCCAATATTCAGTTAAATTGGTTAATTTATGTTTTGAACTGCCGACTCTATAACGTTGACACAACCAGCAGTAAGCTAATAATAATATTTTGTTGCAGATTTAAATTTTATCATGAAGATGATTTATATTTTTTATTGTATCGCGATTTCGTTTTTATATTCGACCGCTGGAAATGCATTTAGCTTATACAACATCTTAGGTTCACCGTGTCCAGATGGTTGTACAAAAAATGCCGACGAAACTTTTTTGGCGTCTTGTGAATCAGATCTTTGCCAACAAGATGGCTGTTACTGTTGTTGTTACACAGTTACTTATTCAAGCAACTTAAAACGGAAAAAACATCACAATTTATAAATTATTATTAGCTATACAGAGAAATTTCGAATCATACAAACTACCGTAGTTATCGGGTTTTTAAATTCTTTACCGTGTATAATATGTTAGCTTATTCATTTAATAAACTACGACAATAAATTATGTATTTAGTTTTGTTTATCTGTTCATTAGACCTTCAATTACAACTTATAATGCACCTTATGTTAAATTTCCAATTATTTCCGTTAATACAGGCAATTTTAATAACAGATTACTACCAAATGAAAATACATGCATATAACAACGCGAAAATATCAAATACCTATAAATAGCCTGTAAATAGCTAGAACATTTTGAAAATTTGACCACGTCTACAAAAGACGAATGCAATTGTTTTGTGTACACTCCAAGTGTCTATAATCATTTTTAACCGAATAGCGACCTAAATGCTATACACTTTGCCGTATTTCTTACATTTTCCCCCGGTTTTTTCGCGTAACTATTAGGAAAACTATACGGAAAACCAAACAACAACTTATTCACAAACCAGACAAAAATTTCATTCAGAAAGTATGATATTCTCGAAATTCGAACTAAGATTTCCGGTAAAAAGTATAAAATTTTAAAAACTTTAAATAATGAAATCGTTCCGCGTAATTTGAAAAAAAATCGTTTATTTTAACTTTTTGATTATTCCCAATTATTAAGCGAACTATTTTTAGTATCAAAAAACACTTAGTCTCCTTCAGTGGCTATATATTAAAAGAAACAAAATCGATCTCGTGTCATTTTTCTATTGGTGCAATATTTCTGGCAAATAACATATTCCAATTATTAATAAACAACGTAATCGGTCACGCCGAGTCGCTTTGCGTCGTAATTATTTGTCCTTTTACCCATAATTTTCCTACCGGTTTTCCCCATTTTTTATGAAAACTCATTGGCAAATCGAAAATTGACTTTTTTAATGCGCTAACTGAATAACTAGACAAAATTACCTTTCAGAAAATGTGCTACACTTTGTATACCGGAGCAAGATTTCTGATAGAAAAGTTGCTCACGGGCACAAAAAAAAACTAACACACACATATCATAGTAAAACCAATACATCCCTCGCTCTGAATCTAAAAGTCTAGTTAAACTTCATATAATTTTATTTTACAACTCTTTGGAAGTTAATAATAAATGTATACATTGCATATTAAAAAAAAAAAAAATTTAGACGCGAAAACCGGGCCACTATTATGTTTTCGGTACGCTTACCCCACTGCGGGTTAGCGGTGCATCGTTATTTTCAATTTGAACGCGGTTATTATATCGCGGTATAAATAAAAAGAAGGAAAAAAGATACCGAGTCGAGCGCAAAATACGAACTCAAACGTTTACGTATTGTTTTTCACTGGGCGTTTTATTTCTCCACGAGGTTTTGAATTTTGCGAATATTTGAATCATTTAGATATTATATTACTTTATTATATTATGGTGCATTGCAGTTGAATGTGTGTACGTTTTGTATAAATCGGAAACGTGCGCAATTTGTATTAATTAAATGTCATTTATTGGGCACCCAATTTAGTCGTTCAAACCCCTAAGCAGTTTAATCCAAATATTAATGATACGAAAATCCCAAAAATTACTTATAGCGTCGACCCGTTTATAGTTATTTTTAATATCACTGACATCGAATAATCTCGACCGATGGCCAATACGTCTAGAATATTTTAATCACGTGGTCGGTATAATTCTATAAGCGACTTTGTGCAATTCGTAAAAGCGTCATACCGTTTTCTAGGAGAAAGAGGGAAGGTTAGGTTCACAGTCCGGTGATGGGAGTAAATATCGTTGTTTTTTTTTTTTATTCCCCTTAAAGACCGTTTCAAGTCCCCGAAATGTGACCTATAATTTTTTTTTTATTATAATCATAATATTTATTACGTTATGTAAATCATAAAACATCCAAACTGTACTGTATCAAACTCCAATCAAGTATACACCTTGGAATGCACCTTGACTATCGTTTAAATTGCAAATATCACGCCCATCAAATTTAAAATAAAAACGCGAAAGATCTATTGGTCAGTATAAAACCTATTTGGACCGATGGGATTCGACTGTGGGGTGGTGTAGTCTAACATTGATGTAATACAACGCTGTCAACACAACGCCCCCTCACGACCACCACTGCAGCCTACCAGTTTGATGGAAACGACGCTACTCACCGCGTCGTGATGCTGCCTACAATAACATACGAAATTTAACGGTTTGTTCGCAAACACGAGGCATGTTTCCCATGTCAATCCAATGGCCATCCAATTAACAGACAATTTCAACGACATTAGAAGACGTCTTAAGTATCCGAAACCGCAAGACTTGGATTAAGTTTTTAGTTTAAACCACTTTATTGGAAGTGTGACAATATCAACGTGTAAAGAATACAATATCTAGTATGCAAAATATGTACACTGTTAAACAGGTTTATGAAAATAAACCCTTGAATATGAAACCCTCGAGTCGTTTAATAATAAAATTTAAGAGTAATGAAAAAAAAATAAAAAATACCAAACGAGTATAAAAATATAATATTTATCGAAGTTTATTCCGTTTTTTCGTATACCAACCTTGTACACGTCAATCGCAAGTCGAGGTATATCGTGCGTACTGTATAGGTTCGTTTTGAGTCATCGATGTAAATACTGAAACCGTTTTTTTTTTTTTTTTGCTCACATGGGGAAGAGAGAAACACAAGAAGTGATACCTCTATCACGAACCATTTCGGTTTTTTCTCTATGCGTATACGTGGCATACCTACTCCAGATGGGATCGTATTTAAATAACAGGCACTTTTCGCCCTTTGGGAATATTTTTATATTAAAAAACAATATGCGCACTATGACAGACGTGTCAGAAGTCGACGAATTTTACGCGAGATACGATGTACTTGTCGTTTTTGGGATACGGAATAAGGAGCGTGTAATGTAAGTACCGATGTAAGTTGCATGCGGCCGCGTTTAACGCAACTCTATAGGAATCGTGTATACGAACCGGACTTCTCGTCGGGGAAACTATTTTATAATTTAAATAAGTAATATGATTATGTTTGTTTTCGCGTGTGGGCGATCGGGTCGAACGGGAACACGTATGCGACCGACCGCCTTTTACAATGTACAAGAAACAATTAATTTAAACAACCGAACTTCGGCACGAACGTACGCGAAGTACGGCGAAAACAACTCGCCGTTTATTTTGCGGTCGGGGCTAATCGGTTTTCACGGAGACGGTGGAATAATGTAAATCGCAGTGGGAAACTTTAAACGTTTAAAACACTTACTGAAACAATTTCGGGTGAGCGGTCGATCCGCGACGTTTGTTTCGATATTAATGAACGGCGTCGTAGTCGCGCAGAAATATGGCGAATTATATTTTACGTAAATTGTTAAAACGGCAAGGGCGTGAGGAACGCCTGTTTTACAGGTAGGTCTTACTTTACCCGAACGCGAACGTATAGACACACCGACGTGATTTCCTAACCGAAACGTACGTAATATCCAGTTAACAGCGTACACTGTCGTGAATTTTTGAGGTTAACCAAATTGAAGGATTCGATAATACGTGTACAGTAGCGCCCGGACAGAATACCGAGCACTGCAACTGCGTGTAATCTCGCGAGGTGTGGGCGTAAATTATTATACTGGTGTAACGTAATAATTAATTTCGGCCGACTCTAGGTGATTTACTGATTGTTTAAAAATATTTATTCAAAACGAAATGCGTAGTCATTTGTGAATGTTACGAATTATATACACGGCGTGTAATAATGCAAATGGTAATTTGGCATATTTGATAATTTCATAATCAGCGCAATAATAGAAATGTTCTATTGATCTTTATAATTTTCAAAATTCGAGTTAATTGGTTCAGTATGCGAAATCGCAAAGGTAACTTTGCGATTTCGAGGTGAGATTCAGGGCATCTTAGAGGCTTTTTATAATATTTCAATTTTGAAACATATTATGATAGTTTTCAAATCTACGGAGACGTTTATAACAATTCAAATTTTAATTAAACTTTAAACGACAATTGTTTATACTGCATTAATTATTTTATAAAACAGTTTTAAAAAAAAAATACATATATATAATTATAATTGGTGTCAATTGTGTTTCATGTTTTAATGATTACTAAATAGAATGTAATACAATGACATCGTTATTACGAGGTATATTTTAATATTTAAAATAAATGTTTTTGAGTAAAACTGTCGAGCGCAGCGGTACATTTTTTTTTACACCAAAAATATAATGAACGGTTGGGTGGTTATACTTTTGTTTACTGCATGTGGTCTTAACATTTCTCTGCGTGTCTTTAATGTCTAGAATCAATGTCGGAGGCAGCCCTTGTTAATCGAAAAAAAAAAAAAAATTGGAATTGTACGTATTTGTCCGAAAATTTAAAACCAAAACCACAGTTATATAGAATAACGGAATGTATTTTCCTGAATTATATTTTCGGAGAAAAAAATACCAAAAACTTGGCAAATACCGTTATTTGATTTTCGGGAGTTTGCGATCCGGAATTATGTTTTCCGCACAGATACGGTTTCAGGTTTTTTTTTTTTTTAATTTCTGGACAATTACGGTACTGAGAAATACGTTCCGAAAAAAAATACTTTCCGGGATTATTATAGCCCAATCATTGGTCAATAGACGTATTTTGTTTTCAAAAACGTTATAACGGTATTAGAGTTATAATAATCCGGAAGTAATATTTAATAAAGGGAGAACGGAGTAAAATTGGTTGGTAGGTTGGTAACCATACACATTCTGACTTTTCGTTTAATAATTCCGTAAGATTTTAATATTTTGTAGGTACCGCGCGATTTCGCCGTTGTTTCTAATTTTTAACGAAACATCAGAGAATATTAAAGATCAATCGAAATCTCGTTACAAAGTACTTTTGGAGAACGTGAGAATCTTTATTAAGGGAGAAAAATATTATATACTGCTGTTGAATTCAATTAAGAGCTATTATTACACTGCACGTGCAAGAAATCCATTAGAAGTTCTGAACTTTCGCAGGGTATCTGCTAAGTACTAAAAACAAAGACCGGGTACTGAAATTTTTAACGAAAAAGATTTTCTTATAAAATTTAACGATACACTACCTCGTATAT